CCTTCAATCTTTCCTGTGATTCTCAGCGTTACCCGATAAAGAAAAAGCACTGCGGACTTGAAGATGGGAACACCTCAGCACCCATAAGTCCCCGCTAATCCTTTCAGACTTATAGAACGCTTTTCCAAAGCTTCAGCGACGCATAAACTTCGCGAACGGCTAAACCGGTAAGGCAGCAGTGGTCGGCGTCAAAAAATCTTCATGTGATCCTCATTCTCGCCATATCGACTTGCTCCAATTTCACGCCTATCTTCGCTCGTCATCTGCACATTCCTTGAAGATTTTTTGACGCCGACCACTGCTGCCTTACCGGTTTAGCCGTTCGCGAAGTTTATGCGTCGCTGAAGCTTTGGAAAAGCGTTCTATAAGTCTGAAAGGATTAGCGGGGACTTATGGGTGCTGAGGTGTTCCCATCTTCAAGTCCGCAGTGCTTTTTCTTTATCGGGTAACGCTGAGAATCACAGGAAGATTGAAGGGAAGAGCCGGAGATTAGAGGGAAATCTTTCGCTCTGCACATAGGTACTGTTTCTGATTAAGAGCAATCTGTATCGATTATGTTTGGCTCTTTTTCTTGTCTGGTCAAAGTGGCTCTACAGAGTCCTGCTGCTCTTCAGCGTCTGGATGGTGGAGGGGTCAATCCTTTCACCATTACGACGTTGCTGGGCGGCTGGACACTGTGAGCCGCAAAGGATGTGGAGAAAACTCTGCTCGGCTGGTTTGAGAGGCGCAGGATGCTCTAGCTGCCAAGGTGTTCAATTGTCACTGAAGCGTTCGTCATTGCGTGATATTCGGTGTACGACTCGGATAATGTGATGTGATCGGTGATGGATGCGTCAGGTAGTATATATCTGCGCTGATCGTCTTCCGCCTGATACACATCTTGGCGTATTGCGGCGGCATTCTTTCAGATGCGTCATGACAAATGAGCACTGCGGTCGTTCTCCCCGTTGTCTGGAGTCGGGGCAATAGTTTCGGAGCTGGATGAAATGTTCAATAGTTACGGCATAGTCGAATGCAAGAGGACGTTTTTGGACGACGTTTGGGACCTCCAGCGAGCCATCCGGTCGTTGTGGTTTTTCCAATCAACTTGATAGAGTGTAATTTGGATGTGAACGGCCAATTCTCTTGCCGGAGGACGAGCCAACGACGAGCTTTACGAGCGAGTGGCAGCGACGGCGGCGGTGCTGGCGGTGATGAGTGACCATTGAGCGCCGGCACGATGCCCAGAGAATGTGGTCGTGGCGTCCGCTATGTGTGGGTTTTTTACCGACCGTCTCTGAACCACATGCCAGGATTGGAGCCGACATTTATGACAGGCGCAGTGCTTTGATCGAATGTGCGTTGTGGTCCGCCGATGATTTTAATGCCAGCCGCAAGGCTTCGCTATTTTCGGCCAAGGCGACAGAAGGTCGGCAGAGAGCTGACGATACGATGGAGAGAGCTGAGACGAGACAGCAGACCGGTCGGTCGGTCGACAGGTGTTTCATTTGGCTGCTTACCGGAATGAGCTGATCTCTAGCGAGGCGTGAAACAACCACACCCGATATGATGATGGTTCAGCTGGTCTGGTTGGCTTTGTAGCACCGGCTTTTAATTAAAAGGTAGAAAATATTGGCCGATTCAGCTGTCGTTAAGTGTTTTTATGAAAGGCGTGCTTGAATGCCTTGACAACTGTGCTGTTTGAACCACGGCACGGAAGTGAAAACATATTGTACCAACATGCCTACTTTAAAGGTCGAACAGGGACTGTTTTCAAATTCCCTGCTATTTAAAATTGACTGAGAAAAGAGGGGGCGGTGAGCTGATCTAATCAAGTGTGGGGGACTATCCATGCGGAAGGAACTTTTACACTCGGTTGGTCCGCTTTTTTCCGTTCCTTTTCCGTTCTTTTCGGTCCTTTTAATGCCCTTCTAACTAGGGGAAAAGCTCTCCAAATTTGAGCATGTCCTCCTTATCGTCCTTACCATACTCTTACGTAACTCCTTGTCGTTGATCGATAAGGCTTATCTCTTTGGGTCGATATTTGGCAAATTTGGTTAGTTCTCATGCGCGCAATAGACCGACCAACCTAGGTGACCGCGTCACATGAAAGATACACCGCCAGGTGTGTTTGATAGGAGAAGAGACGAGCGCCGAAGATTTACGATCCTTATATGTACCCGCCGGGAAAGTCTTCATGATTTATCGCGTATGAATTGTGGAGAGATGAT